ATAGACTTCAGGCTGACAATCACCTTGGAGTGTTTAGGGGTTTTGGGAGTTCTGGGGGGTCTGAGTCAGAGTCTACAGGCTTGATTCATTGTAGAAACCCGAAAGTTTGCAAACCTAATAGTCTCAATCCCCAAGAGTAATGTATAGGGAAGCCCAGCACTATGTGTCCTGAATCCGGTTTCCAACTTTTGGTGGGTTTACTATACTCCCTCACTATACTCCATCACAACTCGGACAAGCCAGGCGAGGTCTCACGATAGCAGGTCGGCGTGGGGTTGGGTTCCAAGGATTAAGGGCCACGAGTGCAGGGGTGGTGAGGCCCGATTTGAGTTTCATCTCTCGAGACTCTGTTGCATATGCGGGCTTGGACATTGGAAGGTAGAAAACGGAGACCAAGCAGCACGACAATGACGCTAGGAGAAGCATCTTCGAGGCAGGTCGAGAGGAAAGCCGGGTTGAAGCCAGGGTAAAGGGTTTAGGAAACGAGATCTTCCGCCCTACACTCTGCAAACCCTCGACGTCCTGCTCCTCACCGTTCACGGTAAACTTCATCACCTCGACTGTAAAGCGTCGAACGAACTTGAACCCCACCCTGTGCTATCTGGAAACCAGCACTCTCTCGTCGTAGGTGCTGAGATTTGAAGGGAAAGTCGAATGTACGTCCTTGCTATCCGGGAACTGATCTGCAGGGTTTGTGCCAGTACCAGTACGCAGCTGTTTGGGACAGGCTGCCGTGGTCCCCTTTGGATTTGTGACCGTGATGGTCAGCACGTCGCCATCCTCTGCGAAGGCGGAGGTAGACAAATTAATATTTGGTGTAAGGCATCCTAAGCGAGATCCCTTTGGGTGCCAAACTCATGAGACCTTTGGCGCGAACATCACAGCCGTCTATCTACATTTCTGTCTGAAACTTCGTTTCTTTCATGCCTTGTCCTGGCAGCTGTCTTCGTTCGATGCTTCTGGGTCAGGGCACACTTTGAACCCGGTGGATAGAAACGAGACAGAATTTTCAAGATCCATACCGCAAGGAATGCTGGGCCTCTGGCTATGCAAAAATGATCGAAGGCTGGCTTTCCGGGTCATGTAAACTCAGGATCTAAACTCATGCCTTGGACCGTGGGATGACGAAAAAAACCTTCAGGCACTTCAGTCGGTCAAACTATGTCAAACTCTCTTGCAAGAATGTCCTGCTCGATCGTCTGGTGGACCCTGCCAACCTTGAGGCACGGGAACTGCATCCGCTCTATGCGTGGATGGGAAGCCACTAGTGGCCATAGAATTCAGCTGCTTGGAGTCTGGCATGTGCAACATGGGAGTTTCCGAAAATAAGGGGTACCGTATTTTGGGGTCATTATAATAGGGATCCTACTAAATTGGGGGTACTATATTAGGGTCCCCTGTTTTCGGAAACCCCCACATGAACTTCGCAGAGCATCGTCTAGACTTCCATGATTACCAAGGATGATCATAATGGGGTGCAGAGGGTTTAGGGTTTAGGATTTAGGGTTTAGGGAGACCGGTTCTGCAAGTGGTAAGACTGAGGAGGGGTCCAAGTCAACGCCTTCCCCAGTGAACCGAGCCCATTCTGAAAAGCAAGCTTCAAGCATGGAGGCTCTGGGACGACCCATGTGTCCTTCATAACGGCAGAAAAAATCAAACAAATCCCAAGCACAAGCAATGACCCAACAACAGCCAGCAATGACATCTCAACTGTCTCTGGTTCAATCTGCTACTTTGACAGGACGACGGCCCACCACAAAGACGACCATGTCTGGATGCACTGCCGGGCAACCCCATAGCCCATCGACTTGGCCATCCTTCGCATCATATAGCCCTGGCCCTGGCATCACGACCACAAGTCATATAGGGTTTCAGCACTCACTCTCGGACATGCCTGGGCGAGGTTCCTGGTACACGACGCATATAGGGTTTAGGGGATTCGGCTTCAGGGTTTAGGGGAGGATGAAGGCTAAACAAAACTCACATGCATGTGCGTAGTGGAACCGGCAAGTTAGGAGGCCGTGTGCATGGGATGAGCACGGTCGGCGAATTGCGCGCATAAATGTGCACTTCTGCGCCAGCCACGTCATCTCTCTGCTGGAAAGTGAAAGATCGCTGTGCGGAACCGTCTTGGCGAGAGGTGTTGTAGCCATCTAGTGTCCTTCTCCAGTTGGCACTTTGATGAACTTCGATCAACTGCGAGAGTCTGGCGGTATACCCTGCAGTGGTCGTGGGCATAGAACACAAACGCTTACTTAGATTACCTTGAAATGTCACTGCGGATGCAAAGAGACCCACCCTAGCCCTAATAAACCCTAGACCCAAAAAAACAAAGCACCACGGCCCTGGTCCACCTACACAACCTCGGAAGCGGCCTGCCTGTTCCTTGAGGAGGGCATCGAAATCTCCTGGGAGCTTGCAAGTCAAGCGGAAACCCGACTCCCTAAGATCCAAAACCTGCCCGAAACCCCTGAACTCATGATGTATAAACCCATGTTGAACCCAGACTCTGCCGATCAGCTGGGAAGCTGCTTTTTCTAGCAATCCGGATATGTATTTGTAAATATATGTATTTATGATAAGAGAGCGGATGACAGTCCCTTCTGCATTATGAACCTTAAACCCTTTTGCAGCTGGGCTCCAACCTCAAACCCTGAAGCCCACACATGGTTCCGCAAACACCAAGCTAAGCCTCAAAGTTAGCACTGACACCTTCAACCTCTGCACTAAACCCCAACGCAGGGGCCTTCACGATCAAAGTAAGGTTTGGGGGTATAAAATACTCATAATAAGTTCCTGCGATATTCAGGAACTTTAACGGACGAGTATGAGTGTTTGTAGCTGTTGATTTAGGCCTTTTGGCTGCTGCATTACCTGTAGTCTCCATTGCATTTCCTCGGTGAAGTGGTTGACCTGTTCATAGTTAGGTTGCTCAGACAAAAGCGATGATTGAAAAAGGGAAAACGATACGATAGGCCAAGCTTCAAACCCTGCGATTATGGCTACGCCGTGGATTGTCGACAAGAGTTCTTTCAGTTTTGTCTCGGCTTTTGCAGGGTTCTTTTGCGTCTGGTTGGGGTTGGACTTGTAAGGGCTTGGTCGTTGGGCTTCTAATGTCCAATTTCGGCCTGGGATCGAACTTTATGGCCCCAAGTGCTTTTCCCTCTCGCATGGCACACAACTGTTTGGCCCCAAGTGCAAGTGTTTGCGCTTAGTTTTCACCGTGTAAGGGCGCCTACCACCCTAAACTCTAAACCCTACGTATATGCCCACAAACACTCCCTTAACACAAACGAACAGAACTCTATCACAACACGCATACAGTTGCAACTCTCCGCTGCTTCGGTCCTTCCACTTTCTCAAGGACCCAGCTGCCCACAAAACTTGGCCGCTCCTTCACGAGCGTTGCAGGGGTTTCGCTTCGGGTTTTTAATGGGCTCTTGAAGGGGCTTACTGGCTCTAAGCATGGTATGATAAGGCCGGAAGAACAACCATCGTGCTTTCTCTTGGGGTGTGCTTCAGGGCCACTCGAAGTTGTTGTTGAAGATTAGCTTGTGCTGTTGGGCTGCTCGCTGGAATTGCGGAGACCTCACAACAGGCTAGTCTTGTTATTCTTCGGGCTGCTTCCTTACTCTATACGTCAGTTTCTCTTATCTCCAGCCCGAGTACTGTGCATCCGCAACCAGTGGCAGTGCGGCATCTGGTGTTATACCGCCGCGCTCCTTAGAGGCTCAATGGACCGCACACATGCCAGCACGATGAATTAAGGCATGTTTTGGTAGGCGTCATGCTCTTTCAAATAACATGGCACCACAACCCTCGTAAATCCCGTATAAACCCTCATAGAACCCTCAATCAGTATTGATTGGAATCAGCGGTCCTTGGCCGGCGTGGCCCCGTCCTGAGAATGCCAGGGGTGGTTCAGTTGCACTCAATGACTACCCCGCCTGCAAAATAGAATTCGGAGAGCAGTAAGGATTCGTGGCCCACCGAGTTCAGAAACAAACTAGAGAAACTAAAGCAGTACTCCGCAGGTAGCCGAAGGTGTCGATGTATGAGACGCTCATGCACGCTGACGATCAACAAAAAGCAATCATCACAACCCTGACGAAGCCCTGCCGCACTCAATAAGCCTCCAGTGCAACAGCATCCTCGGCAACTAGCCATCATTGTAAGACGAGCAATGAGACCAACAAACACAGCTACAGATATTGATTATCTAAAAATATGTATGTATGTATGTATGTATGTATGTATGTATGTATGTATGTATGTATGTATATATATATATATATACACATATGTGTAAACACACACGTTTACTTGTGTATGTATCTGCGTATACATACGTACAGTTTTTTGCTAGGCAAGCCCGTCTGTGGCCTCTTTGGGCGGGACCGTAGCAGGCACCGGGTTATCTGATAGCACGGGCATTGCACCTGCCATCGCGCTTTGAGGATTTCATCATCTACTTGCAGGGCTCTAGCGCATTTAGGATTTTAGGATATGGTTTAGGAGCTTAGGATAACCTAATTAAGGCTTGGAGGCTGAGAGCTGTCGTTTTGTTATAAGGATATGGTTTGCATTTCAAGTTTCAGTTTGGGGCTTTGGGGTCTGCGGTGGCATGACTGGCTCTGTGTTCATACATGCTTGGAAGCGCACGAGCAGATACTTGACCGCCATTCAGAACAGATCAACCGTAAGAACCAGCAAGAACAACATCGTCATGACTCATGACCATGAAGGTGGTCATCCTAGTCTTACCCCACTCGGCATAACATCATCGTGGTAAAGACGCTGATCAGCATAAGTCACTACTGTGTTGCTTGCTCCTTTTTCTTCTTCACCACCGCCTTTGTACTGACGACAATCCTCAATTCCGCCCTTCTCATACTTATCACCATCCTCCTCATGATCTTCACAATACGCAACCCTGTGCAACATCTCAGAACGTGGCAAATGGTAGTCTTCGATCTTATGAACACAAAAGTGGAGCCACATGGCGCCCTCCGATCCTCTAACAGGCCAGAGCGACCCTGCACCGGTACCCGGTCCGGGTCGCACGACACCTCCACGATGTCCGAGCCCCCCTGAGCCTGAAGAAGCCGCAGGAGAATCAGTCTGCAGATCGCGCGGGTCTTCGGATGTGGCGAGGAAGTGTATGTTGGATTCGCGATGGAAGTGGGTGCATTCTGCGTCTAGATCCTTTGAGTTCACTTGGCTTTGCCAGTGCTTCAATCCCCTGAGGCTTCAGACTTTGCGAGTTGTGGGCTTCATGGTTCATCTCTCACGCTCTGTGAGACCTTGGAGAGGTCGGCTTCTCATCCCGCTGCTTACGGCTACGACGCAGACACGAGATAAGCACCACCGCAACCAACAAGAACAGGCCAGAACAGCGTCACAAAACAAGCAGTAGTACGAGGAGGAGTGGAAGCAGCAGCAAAAGCAAACACAAACACAAGTGAACTGAAAGGCTGTTAGAATCTGTTAGAGCGTAGCACAGGCCGAGTCATGCATCGCTGATGCCCTGCCGCAGATCACACACTCGCTGCACATGTAACATGTGGACAAGACAGCAACTGGACTCGACGTGGTTTGTGGCTGTGACCACGACGTGCTTCCACGCGCACGCGCGAGGAAGTTTAGCTCGCAACTGCCTGATTGTGGCTGAAGAAATATGCAGCCGTCGCAAGGTGACAATCGTCATATATCGTCATCATAACCGTCATCCTTGTCTTCGTCATTATGTCCTTGCAACCTTGCTGTTGCTATTGGCCCTGCTGTCCATCTCTTCGCACATGAAGACTTATCTCCATCAGGACCGTCGTTTTCCCATCGCAATCGTCAGCATCTACCTCTTGATCTTCACCTGTCGTATTTACTCGCCTTTACCGCAATCATGCTTACAAGATTCGTGACGACATCTATTTTCGGAAAGCCCTGAAGCCCTTAATTTTACAGGGTGTGCAGAAAGTACCATGAACAGTAGGTTACTGCAAGCATTGCCGCGGATGCTTGGCCCTGCCATGCCCCAAAAAATGCTTGCACCAATGTTGTCTGTTCTGACCATGCTGTGGTTGTGAAGCTGCTTATTTCACCGAATGGAAACACCCACGTCTTGACTGCTGCTTCGGATGACAGCATCTGCAACCTTACAGCCCCATATTGCAAACACCACCATTCGCACTCACGCTCTCTCAGTTGGCCTGTGCATCGGCAGGAACGGCTAGCTCTGGCTGGCCCAGCATGTTGCAACCACAAAGCCACCACATCGCGAAGAACTACGCCGCATGCGCTGACAAGCGCCGAGCCTACTGCCTGCAGCACCTGCTTTTGAATTCGCGGTAACACTGAGGTCATGCTTATGCTGTCACCGCCAGAAGCAAGAGTGTAGCATGCCAGCTCGTGCAGCACTGTTGGTCTGCAAAGCTTCTTACGATCATACCTTGAGAAACAACCTAGCATAGCACACCGGTCACGCGTGCGCTGCATGTCCAAAGGTTCATCTTTCATTCAATGCTACACTGAGCTCCGCTCAAGAAAATTATGCCTTGAGCCCCGGGGCTGCAAAACAAACAAGACTCCCGCTTGGCAGCAAGAATGCTCGACGAATCGCCTCTGAACCGAAGATGAAACGCATCTAGGCACTGTAGGACACAGAAGGACAAGCAGGGTAAACCCCCAATTCTTTCTCATCCTGGTCCATGTGGGAGAAAACTAGCAGACTTCCGAGCTCCAATTCCCTGCAAATGTAGGGATTCTATCTTGGGGTTCCTTCTTATGGTTATAGTATAAGGTACCTCACAAACCCTGCTCTAATTATGAAGCCCCCTATTTGAGCCCTGCCCAAGCTTCAACATATCAATGTTTCCGACCCATGGCCTCGTCTTTCGGAGCTTCTTCGACCAAGTGACGGGTGTTTGACGCTGGTTCTCGTCACAGCTCAAGCAAGTCAGCGCTTCCATGCTGAGAGCTGATAAAGCTTGGGCAAGCATATATATATATATATATATGTATGTATATATGGGTAGTTGTCAAAATTATGGTCCCTTTTGGGGTACCCTAAATAATAGGTGCCGTATTATAATAAGGACCCAAAAAAGGGACCATAATTTTGACAACCAACCATATATATATATATATATGTATATGTATATATGTATGTATGTATATATGAGGGGACAAATTCCACCAACAGTGTGCGCAATAACGTGCGATAACGCAAAAGCTTCGAAAGCAGTCGCCAGACTAGAGGAAAAACTCAACAAGCAACAACAAATCTGCAATAAGTCTGCATGCATGGAATATCACAGAACCGATCGTTTGCAAGCATCCATAAGCCAATACCGATCAATCAAAACGTGAATCGACGAACACACCGCCCAGCTTCTGAGTTTTAACTTTTTGTTAGTTGTGGTGTAAGGTTAAACCTGGTAAGAATAATGATAAGAATAGAAACAGCAACAGCAAGAACACTACTGATAATAACAATAAGAAAAGCTGATAATAATCCATAATAACAAAAGAAAAAATAATACAAATAACTGATACTAAGAGTGAACCCCATAAGATCCACAAAAAAAACATCGCGGCGCCCATCCGGGCTGCCCGGCGGCCGCGTGAAGGGGTCGGCCTCGGGCGACGTCTGCTGGCTCCACAGAATACCGTTTAGGGTTTAGGGTTTAGGGCCTATAGTCTCCATTGTAGTTCGTTTTTGGGTCTATAAGATCCTAAATACAAATTTGGTTAATCCAAAAAAGGAACTACAATGGAGACGATAGATCCTAAATCAAAATTTGGTTAATCCAAAAAGGAACTACAATGGAGACGATAGATCCTAAATATAAATTTGGATTAAAGGAACTAGAATGGAGACGATAGATCCTAAATGTATTAATCCAAAAAAAGGAACTACAATGGAGACTATAGGTTCCCTTGAATTCAGTTCTTTACTGCTCGCTGCCCTTGGTTTAGGGTTTGAGTTTAGGGTTCAGGGTTTAGACTCTCGCAACTCGGGCTTAGGGTTTAGGACGTAGGATTTCAGCCTTCACTCTGGGACAAGCCGGGCGAGGTCTATCAAGTCGATGAAGGCTCATTGGCCCAAATACGTGGAGGTACCACTGTCAGGCTCCACTCGGTCTGCTGGGATTTAGGGTTTAGGGCTTAGAGGCGTTCTATTACTCAGAATAGGTTTCCTATATAAAGGTTCTATGAATGAGGGTAACTATACGGGTTTAGCATAGACAACTGAAAAATTAGAATAGGCTTTCGGGTACGTTATACTATACTTGTAATAAACAAACCCGAACTAGTAATGTTGTACAGTCTTTAGGTCGTTGTATTACTCTTGTGCATCGTGGCTGGTTGGTGCTAGAATCACAATCCGCATTTCGCAGGCCACACACAAACTCACAGAAAATGCTATCGGAGCCTAAACCTCAAACCGTGCGCAAGGGCAGCAACTTGACAATGCTGCCTCAGGCTGGCACATGGTTTGCCATGGTCGCCGGCTGACTTGATACAGGGCTGCTGTAGTGCACACTGACCCAAGAACATACAAGCCTGACATGAACAAAAAATGATCCAAAACCCTCTGTCAATTTGAAAGTCATGAATCACTCGACCTGACCTTAAAAGGAAAAGCCCCCCTTGCCTAAACCCTAAACCGAAGCCCCCGCAGGTTGTCAGCTCTCCTGTCGGCCCTGGCAGCCTTTCCTGTCCAGATGCCCTTCGAGCCGGGAACCAAAGTGGGGCCTTGTGCCTCTCCCCATGGCTAGGGATCTATGCCCACAAGCTTGGAGGGGTTTAGGGATTTGAGCTTCCGTTTTAGGGCTTAAGGATTACAAGGTGTACGGCTTACGGATAAGAGGTTTAGAGTTTAAGGGGTTTGGGCGTGACTGAACTGAAACTATTCCGTCACGAGCAGGACGTTCTGGCGCAGCCGTATACAACAATACGTCTTGTGGCTCCTATTTTAGTCGAAACTTCGAACTAAGTCAAACTACTGTTGACGGACAAAATTCTGCATGACCCCAATATAGTATAGTACCATAAATCCCATAGTTTAGGTATAAAAGGTCATCCAGGATTTTGCCCATGAGCCGTATCACACCTCTTGGTTATGACGACTCGTGCCTCGTTCTTTAGGAACGGAAGACCTCAGCGACCACTGGCCGAGTCCCAAAGAAACTGTTGCGCTTACAGCCGTCACAGACGGTCTCCCAAAACAGAACTTCGGCTGTCACCATCGGGTCAAAAGCAGGACACCTGCTCAACCTTCAGAAGCTGGACCGGCATTTTCCAAAACTCACGAAACGGTCTGTGCCACCGCAGCCCTGTCGGTTGCTCGGGCTTCGCACTTTACACTTGCAATTCGAACTCGCTGTCTCTCCGGTCTAAGCTCTATAGTCGACGAGACACCAGATTCCCGCATTCCTCATGGCCTTCGCGAAAGCATGCATCGCCTGAAGATCAAACACACTCCAGATGTCTGGTCACGAACCTGAGAGCAAAACGCTGCTGCTGCTAGCAGCAAACTTCGGGAATAGAACTGGAAGCAGCGAATACGTAGGCCAACGGTCGCCTGCTTCGACGGCAGTTGCTCAGCACATCTCAAAAAATGTCAGCGCACAACCTCTACAGCACTACAACATAAGCAGGATCCCTCAACATATCACCCACTCAACACTCCGATACCGTCTTCACAGGAGTCAAGCTTTCGTCGACACTCGTGGGTCATGAGGAGTTTGCACCCTTTAGGGTTGCAGGCTTCATGGTCTATTGGTGGGAAGGTCTGGTAGCACTGCCACATGACCAGCGCTCTGCTAAGAAGCCCAAAACCCCCCCCAACCCGAATCCTTGGCTCGATTCCTCTGCACGCAGTTCCTCGACTAAGTTTTGCAGCACCCTCCACATTCAACCCTCATCCCTAGATCCGAAATTCGTGGCGATCCTTCTCTGTTGTCTCATGCTTTATGTCTTGATATGTCTTGATATCTCCCTCTCTCTCTCTCTCTCCCTCTCTCTCTCTCTCTCTCTCTCTCTTGACACTCTCTTGCTGCTCTTGCTGTAAGTGTGGAGTGTACATGTCATATGGAAATATAAGTATATTTATACACACACACATAAAGCGTGCAAACTATCTGTACAAACAGTTGAATACAGGAAGGTATACACCAGGTATGCACTATTACACATACCAGCTCAATCTGACATCTGAGGCCTTGAAGGCAACACTGATTGCGTAAATTCGTAAGGACACCCCTCTACGAACTTAAAACTTGCACCCGATGAATCAACAGGAATGCTGGGAGAGCTCGTGAAGCACAGGACTGCCACAGCTTCACTTCGGAAGCCAGGCATGCACACAGCTTGAGGAGACTCTTCGTGAGATCATCTCTATAGTCTATAATTAGCTCCCTTCCTCGCCCCAAAGATCAATTAAACCATGTGCCTGCGCGCGGAGAATCTGAGACACTCGAGCTTCTGCTCTCAAACAGAGATTTTTTTCAGAGTCTCCCCGAGCGACTTTTCTTTGCTACGTCACTAAGTGACACGAAGCTTGCTCGGAGCGTGGAAATCGGTCAGGTGACTCTCATGGACTGGAGCGGATGCGTGCAAACCGTTAGGATGTAGGGCCTCCCCTTACGACTTCTCATGTTCTTGTATGCCTTTAAAAAATACAGGGGCGGTATATGGATTCCTCATCCTCATCCTCGTAAATCTTCCCACGTCCCCGACCCCCTGATCCGAGCAAGAGCTTACTGCACCTCTTCGTTGTCTTGCCTGGCAGCAAGTTTTCAGGTTTGGGGGTCTGGGGCCGTCGACCGCATGTTGCTGCATATTGATGCGTCAGGGAGACAACCATGCTGTGTTTCATGCACAGAAGGTTGTCGCCCAACTTATACACTTCTGCGGTGAGGTTATCTTGGACAACCCAGGCGGCTGTATAATTGGAACATGGGGTGGCTACTGCTTTATTTGCATGTAAGCGCCCTAAGGAATAAACTGTATTGCTAGTTACTCCAGGCTTCTATACTGCATCAATGCGGAAAGACACACAACTGCAGGAGATTGGAGCTCGCATTTTAAGGCGCACTCCGAGGCTGCGACAGCTTTTGATTCAAGTCTGCCTGAAGGCCCTGTGCAGAAGAGGCAGGGGGCAACATAGGGGCCTTGATTGCTTTGAATAGGGTTATGGTGCTCCCGCATGGCAGCTTGCGAGGAATCCGCTTGGCAGGTACAGTTAAATATTCACGAACCCAACAAATAT